GAAATGTCTCTGCTCTTACGTTACATGACTTTATTAGGTAGCGTTTCAAACTTGCCGCTAGACATGCATTAAGAAAATATGGGGCATTGTGACGTCATAATGAGGTGGAAGTATCGGCCGGACCACTGACGAGGCGTTTCAAGAGAAGTGTTTTCCGTGAGCTTCCTTTACTGTGGAACTATATAACACAAAAAAGGAAAGAATGACTGATAAAGCATAATATGTCTCTTTTAAGGTGACACTCATAATGTGAAATTTTGTCATGTGACATAGTTTGTGTCTCTGTACAGTATATAAATGAATATGTTTTGCAGACTATAGATAAAGATAGAAAGCTGCACGATACCTGTGAAGGACTGTCTCACTGAATATGTTCTCCTTTGAAAGACTTTCTGTACCAGAATGTTGTATAATCTCCTTCACGGCTGCAAACTTGCCGTTGTAGCATGCCCTGATGAAACACAACACACAGAACGCCCGTACCTTTTAGACGATGAACGTCCGTATCACTGACTAAAAACTTACAGGAGGCTACAAACACTGTAAAACCAGTTACAGGTGTAATGGCGTGTCCCCGTAGATGTTGACAGAGTGAGGCTGCGCATCAACGTTGTCCTGCAGGAGGAAGCGTACAATCTCGTGGTGACCAAAACGAGCGCAGAAGTGAAGAGGAATGTGATCTTCGTTGTCCTGTGCATTAGCTGGAAAAGGGGAGCAGGTGAGTCGGAGAAAGGTCTCACTGTCATCTCTTAACACAGAATCTTGTTAACTTCCCTGAGCAGTGGCTGATCTAGGGTTTTTTCTAAATTGCGGTTTATAAAGGGGGGCCAATTCACACTGAGAGGCCAATTATATGTCCAACATCCATGCACAATTCCTGATTCAGTAAGGTGAAATCTTAAGCTGGGACCAGTGCCCCCTTTAGCCTGGCACCTGGATCTGTCCCTGTGCGATTGAGGTAAATCTGCAGGTTAAGACTGTTTTTCACCCATAGGAAAGTGGAAAATTATAGCTACAGCATTGAGACATGTTATTATGTTTTATTTACTGGCCACTGATTCAAGTGAATCTTAATTAAATGTGGGAAATTTGGACAGTTTCACCATTGGCTTTGCTCCCTTCCCCCATGAGCAGTTTGATGATGCTGAGGAAACCCTTGGCTGCGGCCAGGTGCAGTGGCCGGTCCCCCACCTCACCACTCACATTCACGTCTGCCCCAAACTTCAGCAACAGCTTTGCAACCTGGGACGCAGACATTTATATTTTCAGTGACCAATTTGAACAACATGGAAGCATCATACAAATACTTCTATGACCAGATGTGGTTAAACAGGAGCCCTGTACCTGCTCGTGGCCATTGTAACAAGCGATATGCAGTGGAGTGAAAAACACAGCATCTTGGACGTTCACATGAGCCCCATGCTGTAGGAGAATATCTGCTGCCTGGTTGGGGGAAATGACGAAATCACCATTGTGCAAAAGCCTTGAAAAATCAATAACTTTGTTCTGGTGCACCAGGGTCATCTCTCACCTCATGGTGTCCAGCCAATGTAGCGACGTGCAGGGCAGTGAGGGCGCCGTACCCCAGCTGCTGCACATCTGACCCTCCGTGAAGAAGAGCAGTCAACAGCTCAGCGTTGTCCTGTGTTATAGAATCAAATCGATACACACAACAGGGCCACAGGGTTTTACACCGGCTGAAGATATGGAGCTGCAAACCACACTGGCTTTGACGGTACTTGCACTCCACCATGTGGTAAAATGTAGAAAACTCTTTATCAGTGACAAATGAGACAAGGAAGAGAGACAGGGTTAGACACTGAGATCTTCACCTTGTAAACCGCCAGGTGCAGCGCGGTGAATCCATTCCTGGACAGTCTGGAGGGACGCAGGCCTTTGAGCATCAGGGTGTGGATATGGGCCTTGCTCCCTGGTTGCAAATATCAAACAGAAAAAAATGCTTTATTCAAGATCAGGTTTATTGTGAATGAGGTCAGGATTATTAGAGCCACAGACAAATTAGAACTTCCTATATTCAACCTTTATGCACAGTATATACAAATCTACTGTTTATTTGTGTGTGTTTAAGACCAGAAAGGTCATCCCCAGACAATAACACCAGTCAGTCTTTAGTAATCCTTCCCTCCACAGTCACACTTTGTCGAGGAGTTATTAATAGACTCCAGTCATGCATACCTCCACACACGCAGCAGAGATGCAGCAGCGACAGCCCCTTTTCTGTGCGGTAGCTTACGTTCACCTTCTGAAAAGCCTCATCGGAGCTGAGCAACAGAAAATCAACATCACCTGCTTGAGACACAACTGAGGCCTGACTGACGCACAACAGTTAGCAAACCGAGGAGAATCCAGCCATGACAAACACTAGTGTTAATTAGATTTAATTTTAAACAGTGAGTCGCACTTTGTTGTGATTTTAAATTTGTAAAAAATGTTTTTGTCACCCGAAAGCAAGTTTGAGGTCCTCGAGCTCACTGTCTTTGAGCTTAAGGTCGTCTTCCAACTTCTCAACGATGACAGAGTACGACTCACCCACCTTCTTTTTCCACTCATCTACACAACATCAAATATAGGAACAAGTTAAAAACATTTCCATTGCATATTATCACCTATAAGCAGAAATATCCACAATTTACCTTCTACAAACATGTTATATAATATGTGTTAGTAAAGAAGTAAAATACGCACTTTTAGATAAACTTTGTTGTTAGCCCTGAGCAATTTTCACACACACACAATCACAAAGACCTCCAGTTATTACCTGTACACGTCTGAGACGGTCTTGATTTGTAATTTCCCATTGAAAAGCTTCTTCTCTTGTAATGCGTGCACTGTGTAGTTTGGTGAATGACAGTAAAGCAGAAACACAATCTCTCAGTGTGACACAATTGCACAGGTCCAGATAAAGGGGGGAATGAGGCTGTGGGCTAAAAATAAACACCTGTGAGTGGAATGCCAAACTGATCTCCCTCCAATTGAAAGCATGTGTGCATCAGTGTGACCCTGTGTGTCTGTGTGTATATGTATAAATGTACAGTGTCTATAAAGCAAGATCAATGTCCAGTTTTTGCATAATGTAAGAGAGACTGATTGATGGAACTCAGAACTTCAGGCACTTTACATGTCTTTATTGTTATGCTTCCCTAATAATGGGAGTAGTTTAAGGGACCCCAAACTTCTTATTTAATGTCTGTCATGCATTTCTCAAAGCAGGAGTGAGACTAGCAACATTAACAGCAACTGCGATTAGTAATTAGTTACATCAAACTCAGCAGAGCACATACTTCTGCCAAGGCCCGACTTCAATTCAATCAAGCTGCATAAATATCACTCCTCTGAATATGTCCAATTCTTTTCATCAGGTTCTATGTATGTGTTTTTATAGAAATAGATTCTGACGAGGTCCCAAACAGAAACAGAATTATCAATAATATGAAACACAACAGTTACTAAACAAAACAACAACAAAAAAACAAAGAACAAGGTAAAGACAGAAAAACTGAAATACAGAAGTTACATCCTCAGACTTTGCACACTCAAAAGTTAGAATGGAATGAAGGAATTTCAAAAAATCAAGCAGTGACATTCTCACTGAAAAAATAGGCAAATTCACAAGAATTTGAATAAGCTGACAGAGAAACATAAAAGCTTTTTAACCAACTTCCTTCAATACAAAGTGGACAATAAAGTCAGAGATTCCCAGTGAGTAACTGTAAGGAGCAATAATTAGTTTTAAACAATTAAGTTCTATCTTGGTCCACGTCCCATGCTCGCAACAAGTTCCATGGAAATCTGCTCAGTAGTTTTTGTGTAATCCTGCTGACAAACAAAAGGATAGGCCTGTCTATGTAGAGCAGAGTGCAGCCGCTCCGTGTCTCAAACTGGTTTCTCCACCTCTGCTGGCAAACCTACAGGACGTACCTTTGAATTACTCATCCCATTACCTTGGGTAGAAAAAGAAACTGCACCCATGTAAACAATGAAAGACCGTGAGATGAAAAAGCAAAAATTATCAATCAAACTTTATTAATACATCAAGTGACAGTGGAAATGTTTGAGGAAAGACAGACGAATGAAGAGAGGTGGATAAGGTAAGGTCATTGGTTCTGTCACTGTGGCAGTTGCAGTCATAACAACGGATTCAATTTCATTTTTGTCTTCCTCAAGCATTTTTGCAATGGCCCATGAGGAGGCAGAGGAAATTGCCTTTCTGCTCTCCCTTGAACCAATGTTTTCCCTGTCTCTGTCATCTTCCTTTCTCTGTCATTGCAGGAGAGCTGCTGCAGTTTTGCCTGCTTCTTCTTTGTCGTCTACTTATTTGTCTTCTTCTTAACAGATCCTCTCTTTGAAGAGGTGCTGCAGAGAAAGCTACTTCCCCTGGTCTTCTCCTGTTCCTGCTACTAAATCAGTTCATGTCATCTTTGGTGAGGGATGTTAACTGGAAGAGAGCAGGAATCCTGTGTCACATTCTCCTGTGAACACCACACAAAGAAAAAGACTTCACAGCGATCCTCTAACACAATTCAACTGGGTCTAATCAACATGTATCAGTCTCTCATTGTTAATATCCTAATTAATGCTAGCCCTTTATATTACAGTGAGTTGAGAAACATTCCTTGTAAAGCCCCCATCACAAGATGTTCAAGGTAAACATGATCCATTCGTCTTATTTTCTTGAAATACTGCATCTAATCTCATTTGTTCTGGCTTTATCTGCAGGGACAGAAACACAGGAAGAATGAGTTAAGCCCAAACTGGTAATTGTTTTGCATGTGTCTGCATCCTTTTAATTGGGTGTAACTATACATTTTATTGCAAGAGATAGCTGCATCTCCAAGCAGGCCTACCTCAGCAAGAAATGAAGTAAGTAGGTCTATATTTCCAATCATCAAAATAAATTATCTACTCTTTAACATGTTTGTCTTTCACAGGATGTCTGTTCAACTTAAAAAAGGCCTCTTCTCCTCTATCAAAGACCCAAAACTTGACAGAAGTTGTGATACAGAAATTGGTCAAGTATAAATTCAAACAATGCAGAAGGTCATATTTGTCATGTTAATGTTTTAATTTTTGTCCCTAATCTTGAAAATAATACCTCACAAAAGGTTTTTTAAAAATTGACATGCTTACAGGTTGAATAAAGCAAAAAAACTACATATACTTTGGGGTCAGCCAAGCAAATCATTAATATTCATTTTTTATACCTTGACACAGCAATGTTTATTTTCAGTGCCAGTCTTCATATTCAGCAGATGAACATAACATACATGGTTTTATTCATCGGACCTCGAGATATTATCTTGAGAAACAAGCTGAGTCCTGTGTTGAAGATACACTGATTTTAAACATGAAAATACTTTATTCAGAGATAGTGACCAGATATAGAAGTCACCAGAGATAGAAGTCACCAGAGATAGTCATCTATCATCTGCAGATGTTTCAGCTCCTGGAAAACACGTCCTGAATGAACACAGAGGGAATCCTCACTAGGAGAAGATTACAGCAACGAGAGCAAAGGTGGTGAAGACAAAACCAATGAATCCCGCTATTTCACCAAACTTTGTTCTCTTTCTTTACTCTTTATTGTTTCTGATTGAGATACACTTAGCAGCAATATAAGTTATACTGTGGCTTTAACACATTGACTGTCTCTCGTTGCACAAAAATGAAGCCAAAATATCCTGGATACAGGTGCTGCCATCTTGCACTTTGATTGTCATTTGGAGCCAGTGTCTGCACAGCAGTGATACATACTTTCATCCAACTAATGTTAGTTTTGACTTTTTAATTTGGCCCATATTCCATCCACTAACATGGATAAGGCAGTGTTTATGACATGTAGTACAGTTGGCCACCAGAGGGGGTGATCAAGAGGATTTGGCTTCCCTTTTGAGGAGGTGTCATGTTGTCTATCTTGATATAAAGTCAATGTTTTATGAAGTAATCAGTAAAACGTGGCAGGTTTAACTCTTCAGTCTTCTCTGTGTAATGTCATTATACAGGCCCGTCCTGAACTCCAACATCTCCTCCAGGTTCTTACTTCGTAAACACTCGTGCATGGAAAGCAGCTCTGCGTCTTTAGGTAGGGTTATTGTGGAGCCACTCAGAACGGCCCGCAGCATTTCCAAAGATGATGAGAACGAGCTTTGTTGATCTGAGCAAACAGGAAACAGACAAGCGTTCCACAAACTGCAGCTGGATGAGTCACCGGAGAACCTCAGCACCTCGCTCTCCAGCCCCCAGCTGCAGAGACACTCAGCCAAGTTAAACCCAAATAGCTTCAGCTTGTCCAAGAAAGCAGGGCCCTCCACGCTGTGCTTCAGGTTGTCGGTAATCCCGAAGGCGACGGTTACAAACCCGGTGCGGTCCCGGTGGTTCACACACAGTGAATGCATGAAGACTAAATCAGGCACTGAGAGGCCCGGACTTACCCAGCAGCTGCTGAGGATGGAGCCCTTACCTACTGATGCTCCCGCTCCCAGCCGGGAGTACTCAACCACCGATCCAGCTCCCACAGAGCAGCTAGGATCGAGGACGCTGTACATAACACAGCAGTCAGAGCTTTCACTCACATGCATGCTGAAGGCAGAAGACAGGAGGCCCAGCTCCCTCCTCAGTGCCACGTCCTCCGTGAGGTGAAACAGGTATTCGGACGTGGTGCCAATGTGATAAAACTTGGAGTTATTGAGGAGGATGACATTCAAGGGAGTCCCATGTAGGAGGTGGAAGATCTTTTGTCGGATTTCGACAAGGCCTTTCTCCTCTTTAGTGACATTAGCGGTGTTGCTGGTGTACTCGATTGTAGCTTTGGGTCCCAGAGCTTGAAGAAAGTCCCCGTATGCGTCTATCTCACACTGCAAAGGCTCCAAATCTCTCAGCAGGTTACGAAGAGTCTTTGTCGTTTCAAAGTCGACATAATAGGTGCTGTCTGTGTAAACAAACTCATCGGAACAACCGCTCTGCCTCTTACAAACAGCACCACAGTCTTGCATTTTCTTGATGCTTGGTTTGTGCAGGAAGCGCAAACAGGCACTGTTCTCCATTTCCAAGTGAGTCGACTTTTCACATGAATCCAACACAAAAACGCCGTGGGTGGTTCCAATAGATAGTGAGGAGGGATGGGCCAAAGCCGTAAAACCAGGCCTATCAAACCTCACGTGTTCATCCTCTGGGATGCTGTAGAGCTCTATGTCATCGGCGCAGGTCACCAGAACGCCAGGCCTCATGTGAGATGGGAAATCCACGTACATGGCCAGTTTCAGCTCCAGCATCTGGTAGAGAGGGTCACCCAGCGGCACGGCCGTGAAGATCTTACCCAGGGCGCTGGCATTAGGCAAACGTTGACTGAACCCCCCTGGAAGAATAAGACATGATCACATTCAGTACAGTAGGTGCTTTATCTAAAATGACTGAGCATGTGGAGTCAAACCTTAACTTTCGAATAACTTGCATGAGGGAAAATGTTGAGTTAAAAGTCTAAATATATAGGAACAACAGTGTCTTGAAATGTCAAACCTGCATGAATCAGGATGACTCTCATTCTGCTCAGGGCTTTTCCATAGAGGTCGTCCAGCTGCTGCAGAGCGTAAAGAGTGGAGCCCCCATTCCCTGGAAAACACAAAATCATAATAATCAATTCTACACAAAACAGCCACGTTAATACCATCTGGTTACTGTGATCACACATATGAATCGTTTCTAACTTATCATGCTATGAAACACAATTATTCACTTTCAAAAGATTGTTCATGATGATGATGACGTGTTGCTCCCACCCAGCCACATGCTGAGGACTGTGAAGTAAACAATGGAGAGGTGTCTGATTCCCTCACCTACTTTGTGTCCAGGAGGATCAGAGAACACCTTGTAGTGGATCCCCAGAGGAAGCTCTCCTCTGTGAAGTTTGCCCCGAACCTGCAGCTCGTACGCGGCTCTCTGACTCTCATCCACCGCGGTGAGAACCACCACGTCCCAGTACCCGGCGCCCTGCACCTCTCGACCTGCAGCCGCGACCACAGAAGAAGAAGAAGAGGGACAGGTGTAAAGATAAACAGTGGGAGAGGCGGGCACACGGAGGTGGACAGGATCTGAGAGACATAAATCAAACTCACCCCTCAGAGAGTTGAACCTGCTCAACTTCGCTCTGGTGGAGATCTGTAACTTCCGGTCACACTGCGTCATGATGTCGCTGTAAGTTCACTATAATGTTAAAGATATAACTTTATCTCTCTCTCTCTCTCTCTCTCTAACCTTGTGTTAGACCTATTTCTCTCTCTCTCTGTCTCTCTTTCTCTCTCTCACTAACTCACTCACTCTGGGCTCACATATCCGGGTTCCGTCACATGGTTAGTTTTGTGTATAATGTGGGCGGGGCCGAACCATGAGCAAGGTTAACCTAAAAAATTAAAAATTAAATAAATAAATACATTTATTGAAAATACATTAAGCTGTGTTTATACACTGGATATTAATTATGAGGTGTATCAAAATTAAAACTTCAGTTTGGCTTTCTGCTGGCGGATAATGCAATATGACAATTTATTTTACAATTTTTATTTTATATCTTTTACAAGAAAATAAAAACTTTATTGATCCCACACCAAGGAAATTAAGTTATTACAACAGTTTAAAGTCAAACTAATGGTAACCAAAATGACAAGGGATATGTACAAAATAAAACTAAATGTACCCAATAAAATAAAACAAAATTACATATATACAAAATATTGGGACATGTATATAATAAACATATTTCATCTGATTGTAATTGCACAGATTTGAAACAAACCAAGCTACCATCAGTTGCATCAGAAACAGAGGGCTCCATAGAAACAGCTGAACACAAGTCAGTCCTATTTAATGTTTTCTGTGATTGTAATCTTGCTCAGTGATTATCTAAAGACCGATTCAGTGAACTCTCCACATATGTCAAGATGTACAGAAATGTCAGTCAAGCCAAGTGTGAGCACGGCCACTATCTTGAGTGCGATACAATCATGAAAAGTACTGTGTAAAGGAACAGCACCGTGTTGTTTTTTTTAAACTCCACATAGGTGGAACAAGCCTTTCATTAAATAAAAAAGTACAAATGTCTTTTTTACTTTTATTTCATATGATTTAATTTGTTTATCTTTTATGTTGTATTTAATTAATTTTAATTTCTTTAAATGCTTTGTTTTCGTATTGTTATTCTTATGTTGCTGTACCATATCTTAGTAAATCACTTTGAATTGCTTTGCTGCTTAAATCTTCTATTACTACACATATAATACTACACATTTGTATTTCTTTCCATTCCTCAACCATTTCTCTTGGTTGGGGTTGAGGAATGGTAAGAATGCAGGGGTGAGGGAGGTGAAAAAACCAACACAAGAGCTCATTGGGCATAATCCACTGGTCTAACATGTTTATTTTTTCAGTTAAATCAAGACAGCTTGTCATGTGACCTACTTGGCCATTAAATGTCTGCATATTATACAATTAGTGCAAGTACATTTCTTTAAACTACACATCGTCATTTCAAAATAAAACAGCATCAATAAATCTACATCTTAGCTTATATCTTAATGTTTAATCAAATAATTTAGAAACTAGATTCAGTGAGGTAGAAAATAATCTCCAGCAAAAGAAGCTGATTCAAATGTGTTAATATACGTTTTTGTGAAGCCTGAACGTGTCATTAAAAACAACATGACAAATTAGTGAGATCATTTTAAAAACTTCAGACTACTCTATGTACTAAAAATAAAAATTCACTGGCCTATAAAATGATATTGCACATATAGTTTTCCATAATATATTCACTCCGATAAAACTTTAAAAGATTTTTAAAAAATCAGGGAGAGGCTCGAAACATTTTGCACTGTTAAAAAAAAACAAAACAGAAACTACAAATCCATTGCTGACAAGATCTGGGAGAGGCACAAATACATTCAACTACGGCATCTTCAAGAGCACCTCATCAGAGGTCAAATAGGAGGAGAGACGATCCCGATCCTTCATACTGATCTAGCTGTGCTATTGTGGGTTTCAGGGAGCAGCCAGGCTGTCCTTGTTGGCCTCTAGGAAGAGGCTGCAGGAGGAGAAAGTGCTGGAAAAGCTGGACGAGAGGCCAACGATGTCAGTGGAAATGTACGGGAGGACACCCGGTGTGGCCTGGTTGTAGTAGGTGATCTGAAACAGAGAACATTTGTGGGACAGCAAAACTTTACTTTTCTCTTGTGTTACAGTGCTGCAGTGTGCAGATCGCAAGAATGCATGCTGAATTGAGTGACCGTCTCGTTTGGCCAACCTTGGTGGCAGAACTGGACTCATCCCAGATGGAGAAGCCAGCGCAGAGCACCTCTCCTCGGGTGTAGTCATGAGTTGGTGGGTGAGTGGGCAGAGTGACGGAACGCAGAGCGATCAAGTATGGGTCCCTGGGGGGAGAGACGACGGAAGATATCATCATGAGACTTTTATAAAAGAACACATGGGGGGAGGGGGGGTAATAATGTGACAGGACTGGAGGCATACAAAGCCAACATGTGATGGAAGAGAAAATCAAGAGAGCAGTGAAGTGACAAATAAAAAGTCAGGTCATTTCTAAGAGTTTATTATGTAATAGTTTACTACACCTGGCATCACATGGTTTCCTCCTGGATGCCAGTAAGATAAAGTCCTGCCCTTTGGTCCCTTTGCCAACTGACGGAGTAGCTATTCGATACAGAGTGTCATCCTCATCTGCCTGGTTGATCAGCTCACACTCCCTGCAGAGGACACTCAACATCAGCAATGAGCTCCACGTCTCACACTCTCTTCATTAAAGACAAGCAAGTGACACAGGAGGTTAACTAAACTAATGAACATTCAGTAAGTGCATTCATACAAACAGTTTATATTTGATGGTACGCCTAAAGCAGGGCCGTCTCTGGACATTTTGGTTACCTCTACTTAAGACGTCTATACTGGCATCAGGGTCAGATTTTTCTCATCTGAATAAATAGAATAAAGCAATTTTTTAACATTTTATTTCAAATGTAACTTTATTCAGCTTCTGTTCTGTGTCTTGGCATCAACATTGTGTGTCAGCACATTTACCCTTCTTATGTATTATCATGGTTTCAGTCAATTTCAGGATATGATACAGAATGTAAACGGATTATTCATATCTATTACATTATCAGTTCATGATCTGTCTATGGCTGTAATGCCTCGGCATCACAGATTATCTATTATGTTGGCAGAGAAGAGCATCTACAGGTGTTAAGTCTGAACGTGTGTGAATTCATGTTTTTTGTGCCTTAACCCTCAGAATGTACTTTCTCCTGTTCATCAACATGAATCCACTGCTGAATCTCATCATCAACAAAGAACAATAAATATCTCCATACATACAAACTACAATTGCCACAAGCTTTTTGAGGAAATTGTTGGGCCTTGTTGGGTCTAAATGTAACTGTATGTCAGTACATTTTCAGTACAAACACATGGACCTGGGGATGAGGGCCACTAGCTGGTTTTGGGCTTTTTATACAAATTGTTGATGACAATATTAAAAATGTAGATTAACACCTGAATTCTTCAAGCTCATTCTGCTGTTGCACCGACTGTAAGTTTCTCTGTGTCCGATGATACAAAATGTCAAATATGTGCATGTTACTGACTCGTAATGTCGGTCCCACTCTTTTCTCCTCCTCAGGTCCGATAAGAGGTGGAACGTCTGCTCTGCTGCAACGTTGACGTGCATCTCCACCTTGAAACACAGCGTTTGATTTTCCTCCAGTGTGTACAGTCTGACCTAAAGAACAAAGCACATCCACAACAAGGACTCAGTGTCTTCATCTAGGATATATTCCAAGCCTGGTATATTGAGCCTGGTGTCTTGATATAATGAATGTGGTAAATGTGCATCTTTTGAGAATTACCTTTTTCAGGTCTTTATCTGCTTCAGGCAAAGTTTTCTGACTTTCTGAATAATTCCACAACTTAATTAAAACAATTTTTAGCGCAGCCACTGTGACGTTGCATTTTCTGGTCCAAAACAACACAGATCAGAATTCATGGTGGAATCTCAACAGCTGGAACTATTCAATAAGCCACATCCTGAACAGAAGTACAAACAAAACACTGACCTTATTTTTCTCTGACGTTAAAACCCAGTTGTTTCTGGTGTCCATTAGTTTCAGTGCTGATACATTGTTGTAGCTCAGGTACATCTGAAAAAATAAAGGACTGTCTGAACTCATATATTTTACAGTGGCTAGGTCTGGACGGCTTTACTGAACATGTGTGTCCCTGTTACCTGGTTGCTTGGATCCCAGGGCACTGACAAGGGCACTTCAGTTTGCTTGCAGGAGATAATGTATTTCCTGCAAACATGAAAGGTAGCAATGAACTAAAGAAGTCTGAGAACCTGCTTAACAGTTGAACAATGACCTTATTATGACTCTGCACCAGAGTCTGCTCAGCTGTAATATGCCGCTCTGCCAAGTCATGTGCTGCTGCAGGGGGTCTAAACAATGGATTCTGTTGCACGACACTGGACAAACTAAGCCCCAGTAAGACCGCTTCTGGAAAACTTTCATTACTTTATTCTGCATTTATATACCATAGTAGTTTTATACAGAAGTATTTTTGTGCTTTTGTAATGTTTTTTGATGATGCTGTGTACAGACAATCTTTCTTTGTGATGTGATGTGATAGTGGTGTTACAGTGGTGTTACAGTATTGGAGGGACAATTTCTTCAATAAAATGTCAGTTTCAATTATTATCCATTAGTTCCAACAATCTTTCTACCTTAATGACCCTTTCTTGTGACATAAAAGTGGATTTCTTTTTAGGAACTGTCTTGGTTTTAAAAGATAGAAAATCATTTTTGCATTAAGCCAAATTTGACAAATTTAGAATAAACCAATATAAACCTTGTAGAACCTCCATCACACTTTACAAAGAGCAAGACGTCATGGTTTCCACTGATTTGCTAACCTATCAAGCCGAATCTTCTTTCTTGCTATGGCCTCTTGATAACGTCTTTTTCCGTCCTGTGAAACATGTGAGAAGAAATTACAGAAGTCACAACACACGGATGCTCACTACGTGAAGTTTTTCTATTTTACATTTTGTTGACTTTCTGTTAAAGACAGCAACAGGACACTTTGAAACTCACCACAGGCACTGGCCTTATGCGTGGCAGCGTGCGTGGTTTCCTGTCACTGTCCAGCACCTCAAAGGTCATAAAAGCACTATTTATATGACGCAGAGGTTCTCCTCCCTTGTAGGCCTCAGCACACACTCCCACCTCCATGCTAGAGCACATGCAGGCATACACATACACACCGATGTACAAGAAAAACACATGGTAAATGAGTTTAAGTTATTTGCTATTTGTGTGATAAGAATCTGTCATTACGTGTAGACTCACCTGTGCTTGAAGGAGTTGTTTACAATGGCTTTCAGCACCAGTCGGTCACCGATGTGGGACGGGCCACGAAAATGGAACATGTCAATGGTCCTCAAGGTTGGGTGTGCGTTACACAAGCGACTAGATCAAAATAGAGGGAAAAATTACAGCCTCACGGTTGAAAATTCAGAAAATACAGTATTGTGATCTTGACTTATGGTGTCAAATAATGGCCAGAAAATTGGTTTAACAGAACATCATTTTGGATATACAGTAAAATGTCCTCACATCATCATTTTATCTTGAAAAGTGTGTCAGAGTGAGCTTCACATTCAAACACCAGATTCTTCATCACTTCATCTCTGATTTTAGGTGAATATTTGAAAGGTTTAAGTTCTTTGTCTCCTTTGACCTCATTACAAATATGCTCCTGGAAAGCTAAATGAATAATTTGAACTATATCTGTTGGAGATGCACTCATTTGATTAGGATGAGAAGATTTATACCACTCCCTTATCAATGTTGTAAAGATGAAGCTACACACAGTAGCCTGCTGTTGGCTCCAAAACAAAACCTAACCCACTTACAGATGGTGGGTTGGCATCGTGTGGGAATTTTCTGGGAGCAGTGACTTCCTGAAGTCTCTGGTGGTTTACGGAAAAACTCAAAGATGAGCCAAGATACTGGAATTCACTGCTCCTGGTCAAGAAATAGCCTCACATAACATGCTAATTCATGAGCTTCAGAAGAGCTGGGAAGTGGGGTTTTTTTGCAGGGTAGAACCTCCCTTGGGTTTCTAGTATTTGAGCCAAGCTAAGCAGGCAAAACTTTATTTATATTGTACATTTCATTCTAGGTGGAAGCTGTACAAAGCATGAGCAGCAATGGAACCACACACCATGTGCAAAGATAAACATTAGACACAGACAAACATAAATATTAAATAGGAATAAAATATTATGAAATAAATTAATAATTAGACCAATAAAAATGCAGATTCATATTTACCCTGCAGACATTAGAGTGGTAAAGCTAGATTCATTCCTTGATTCCTTTTTGAAGCAGGTTTTTGTAAATACTGGGTCCATACCATGCTGCAATCGTAGCCACGTTCTCCATCCAGGCCATGATCTGGCCCCCAAATGTACTGACTTGGTGATTGGCGTGTGGCGGTAAGACCAGCTCTACGCTCTCCACTCGTGTCCGCTCAGCTGGCACGGCGTCCTGGTACTCCCGGCATTCTCCTGGTGAGAGAACAAAGCAAAGGGAGCTGTGATCACTCAGTTTTAAAATACAGACGTCTGGCATATAGTGCTACGTTATAGTAAGCTCTGTGTGTGTGTGTGTGTGTGTACCCAGTTGAGCTGTGCTGCTGCTCAGTAGATCTGTGATGATCTCAGCATGGATGAGCCTCATCCTTCTCCTTTCTGCTGCCAGGCTGTACTCCATCTGCTCCATTTGTGTGCAGGGAATCACCTGCTTCAGTTGTACCTGTTAACACGCACACACACACACAAATCCAGGAGATACTAAGCACACATTAGAAGAATGCATGGGGGTCCATATTTTGGTTTTGGCCTCTTACCTTTCCAGCTTCGGTTCGTCTGGCAACAAATGAGGCAAATGCATGACAAACTTTCCATTGCCTGTCAGTGTAAAGGTCCTCACAAGTCACCAGTATGCCAACCTGAGAAGAAAATCATTTTTTCAAAAAGTTCCACATACGTATGTTCATTATCTTGAAACCAAAAAACTACATCCACCAACCTCCATACTGGACGTGAAGGCTCTGTTGACCTTTGCGATGATGTTGACAACCTTTCCCACCCTAGAGCACACAGATTCTTCTCTTTACTATCAACACACAGCAGCGATTATACTGCAAACACAGTGTGAAAGCTTCGTGCAGAGAGACGTCATGGTCAATCATATAAAACATTGATTTTGCTGCCCGTCACTGAAGAAAAACTTGGCCAATAATCATTCTTAATTCAGGAGCTAACATTATTTAAGAGTATAGGATCAATTTATAGATTCATATTTGAAATAATGAATTTAATTAACACACAGGCATGAAACTTGTCCTCCCCTCAGTGCATGTAATGGTTTCTGCAACCCACCCTCAGTTGGAGATACACCTTGTCAGAGCAGCAGTGAGGTTAATTCCTTACCCAATGGTGTGTTCAAAATGGATGTCGTCCACAGAGGCGGTGATACAGGAACAGCCTGCATGTCTCTCAGCTGGAAGAGGAGAGCAGAGGTTACACAAATACTGAGTACAAGCACAAAGGCTCAGAGCATCTACAGGTTAGACCTCAGACCTGCAGGAATTTAACATTCTGTAAGACTAAAGATTTTCTTTGATGTGTCTATAATCAAAATTAGAAAACTGATCATGTCTAAGTGGAGCTTAAAAAAAAAAAATCAATCCTTGACCTTGAGCAGATGTTTGCTAAAAAAATTGTGTCTAAAACATTTTTGGGGAATGTTGTAAAAACATTTGTAAAGAAAGTCAAGTCAGTATCTGAAACTACCTCTTCCAAAGCCCAAAATCCTACAAATCTTATTGTAGAAATATAAAAGAAAAACAGAAGTGGTATGAATGAGGTTATATTTCCATTGTCGTTTGTCTGTCTATTAGCAGGACTATGCAAAAACTACCAAACCCATTGAAACTTGACAGAAGGGTTTGGGTGTGGCCATGCAGTGAAGCTGAGATGTGAGAAAACCACAGTTTTAAAATAATAATTTAGCTTTGAACTCATCAGCATTTATTTTGTGAGTTGTCTGGTCCAACATCCAGACAACTAATTGCATTGCTACAGCTGTGTCCCTCCCTACCAGATAAACAGGCCGTGGAGTCCATCCACTTCAGCAGCTGTCCCACGCTCAGCTCCCCACAGTGGTTTGCATGACAGGGCAGCACGATCTGACTCATCTTCACTTCCGTGGGGTTTCTGTACACCTCCTCGCTCTCCTGGATGAAGAGAGGGTCCAGCACCAAGCTGACATGCTCCCCCTCTGACGTCATATCTCAAAACTATGCAGAAAAGTGGGTTACAGCAGAACCAAGACACTTAATTATCTCTTTCACCTAATTAAGTACAGATCTATGAGTCACACATCAACAAAACAGTTGCCGCATCAACCATTTTTATCACAATTGGAACCGAAAAATCAACTAATGCCTTTCACAGAAATGTCAGTATTGCTGTGTACGTTTGTCAATATTAAATTCATTATGAATAAATAATTCGGAACAGATGTGCATTTATGTCATATTATGTTTCCATTTTATGTAAAAAG